TGTTATCATAAATTTTGTACGTTTTTTTATATTTGACATAGATACCGTTTAAAATATTCAGATAAAATATCACTAAAATGTAATTGTGATATAATATTATGTAATATTATATTAATAAGCAAATATCATATACAAAATAAATGACAAAATTTAAATATTGTTCTCGATATAATTTAACAATACAATCTGCTATTACCTACGGATCATTCCACCTATGTTTATTCTATGATAAAAGAACCAACCGCGCAAACACAGATTAGCGCACATTTTTTGTTTGAGTTAGCTGTTCTAGTACGTAAGTACATATTAGGGATGAGTCGTACTAGGTAAATTTCGTACTAGGTGCAACTAGTCCAATTCCGTATAAATACTCGATCCAAATACCTGTTCCACCTAGTCCATAAAGCACCAAGTTTAGTATTGTTGGAATAGGATGAACTTTAGTTTCAAGTATGCTTTACGTGCGTACTGCTAAAACGTGTGCACTGTGCAATAATGAATTTTAATCTTTCCTTCATACTTTACACTATTCTAGGAGCCTTTTTTTAAACAATAAACGCGTGAGTGTTTCTAGTTAGTTTTTGAATAAACACTTTAATCTATCACGTACAAAAAATAATAAATACATAAAATAATCAAAATATGTCTCCTTTGTAGACAACCCTAAGAATAATTCTTTTTTAAATGTTATTTATAACAATCATACAACTACAAATCTAAAAAAAATATTATAATTATTCTCGTTACTAAATTACGAGGATTGAAATTATACGAGATATAAATTAAGATAATTTACTTCAAAAGCTCCCTTCCGCCATTAACCTACTTTCTTTTCTCGATATGTAGTACAAAAAAGTAGTACGTGTAGATGGATGGTGCGGTTACGGAATAATTTCGTATTTTCTAAAATTTGTTTTAAATGATTTTTATCTTAAAATTGTCAATTTATTTGAAAAAATCTAGAATGGGAACATTCACCTATTGATTTTGTATCTCTCTATTGATTTTAAGCTGCTATGGTTTTTTTAGTATTGCTATAATTCTATAATAGGTTGATGCAGTATAAAGTAGCTCATAATGACGGAAGGGAGAATTTGAAGTTGATTATTTTCATATATTATTTCTCATATAATCTTAATAGTAACGAGACAAATTATAATGTTTTTTTAGAGTATTGTTAGTATAATTATTATAAATAAACATTAAAAAAGAATAGTTTTTTACTCCATAAGAACGATTATAAAATATATAGATTAGTAAATGTGAGTAAACGAACGCATTTTTATATTACTGAAAGCAAGAATGATACATTTACTTATATTAATTATATAATTTATATTCATCAAAATATATTACATAGTCATGGAAAATGGAAACGTAAATTGTTTACGTAAAGTAGTCATGGAAACATGAATACAGCGTCCACAGAGATCACATTCGCATGAGTCCATACCGTACTATAAAACAGACACTCGTCTGCCTTGTACTCTTGTACTAGTATTTGGTTGAAGTCCCGAGTTCCGACTAGTTTCGAGTCTCGAGTATTGATAGACAAAGATAGAAAGACTGCAGAATAGTGTAGTTCAACAAGGACAGAATATATTCTTACACGAGTGCGCGTCACGTTACTTTTATGTGCATTAAAATATGGTTCAAATTCAAATGACTGACAATGATTTACGACCGTAAGCGCCTAGTAAATACGGCAACAAAATACGAGTACGACGTGTAGGCACAGTGAGACTAGATGGATCGAGTATTTTAAAAGTTGGAATAGGTGCAACCTAGTCTCGTTAAATACTTAGTCCCTAGATCTGTTCTAGTATATACGCTTCATCTCTAGTACATATTACTTCAATGTTTTCTTTACTCATGTGCTTCTACTTCAACAGCCGAAGCCGTCGCCGATGCGTCGCGAAAATAGCCGAATAAACGTTTTGTTATTGTTACTGATCGCTCGTTCGTAATTCGTGAAACGGGAATCGTGTTACTGAGTAAAAAATTTTCGTTGCACTGCAATAACCCGCTACCCGCTATTGTGTGAATAGATAGTTTCAGTAACTAGTTACGTTTTGTAACGACCACTCCTTTACTTGACACCATAGATAAATAAATATGTAGCAATAGCAAGCTACGGTTCAACTCCAAACAACAAGTAACCTATAAAATTGTACTCGAATCGAACTCAAATAATATTTTTATAATCCATTGTTATGTTCAAAAACATATCGGAACATGGACATCGACAGTGTACAGACAGTCAGAGATACATTAGTCAACACATTAACAAAACAATTAAGTGAATTGGACTTATTAAAATCTATGTATCCTAGTAATGGTGAAATTATATTAACTGATTGTAATATTGTTGAAGATATAAAAAGCTTTGTAGATAATAAATCCCTTTCTGTACCCAATCATCTTGACTTTATTTTGAATCTAAATTTTGATGGTTTGAAGTTAGAAGTTTATGTTAATTTACCAAGTCTTTACCCTGATGAACAACCAGATGTGTACGTAAGGTGTAATCAATTAAATAGGAAACAAGAAACTTGTCTAAATTCAAACTTATCGCAATATATTAAAAGTGTTCACCAGAATGAAGTATGTTTATATACAGCAATATCATGGTTGCAGGAAAATTTTGATTCATTTAAAGCAAAAACAGAAGATGGTCCACAGGTACAGTCCAGGCACTAGAAAAACAAACAGGAACTACTTTTGTCAGGCTATGGATTTTTTCACATCACATTTATAATAAGTATAAAAGGGAGCAGATTGTTAAAAAATCTAGAGATTTAAACTTAACTGGATTTTGTCTTCCTGGAAAACCTGGCATAATATGCATTGAAGGAACCGATAAAGATTGTTTGGAATGGTGGAAAGACATTAAAACAATGAATTGGAAAAAAATATCAATAAGAAAAACAGAAACATTTGAAATAAATGTAAGACCAAAAGAGCAAAAATTCAAAGACTTTCAAGAAATTTTATTTAATAATAGTAAAAGTGGACTTTCATCATTTATTGATGAACATAAACTTAGTCTGGAGTTCAGTGAATTTTTAGGGCTAAAGTGATTGTTATTAAAAATTATTAAAGATAATTATAAAAGATGTTCTTATAAAGCAACATTAAATTCTAAGAAAAAGTGGTATTTTATATAACACTAGCAATCTACTTCACACAGATGATTTTTGGAACTTGGCAACAGCGCCACCTACCAGGTGTCTTTTTAAATCTAAACTATCAGAGACCCACTGAAACACAAAAAAATCATGAATATTGGTCCAGCAATTTAAAATTTCAGTGACTTATAATTTATAATTAATTTTATATTTATAAATACCATTGTCATAATAATAGTCAAAATGAATATGATATATTGTGTGCTGATATATCAAATATTTTTTCAAAGAATTCATATTCCTTAAATCGTCAAATGCATATATGTCAAGTTTAATTTATATTAAATTAAAGCTTACATTAAAACTACTACTTAAATCTTTAAACATTTAAAAAGTTAAACTGAGTGATATTGATTTAAGATAATTCATTCACTATTCCTTACTGCATATGTTATAAAAAGTAACAGAAGGAACCTCTAACCCAAGAGATGATCAGTAGCATCTTGCAGCATGCTCAGTTTCCTGACTAAAATATCACTTTATGAAAATAATCCATAAAAATGGCTATGAGTATGTGACATTCTTGCTATTTCTAGCTGTGGTAGCATACAATTTAACAGTGGGAAAGAGGCTGCTCACCTTGTGATCTGAGTTGTGTTAATCAAATAAAAAAGGGAGTTGATTAGATTTTGGCAGGAGCAGGAGAAGCGCCCGTACCCTTATTTCCTTGTGGAAATATGTAGTTCATGAGGAATGATTTTTTTTTTGTAAAATATATAGAAACTTCTGCAACAATTTCGGCACTGCGGGAAATGAAATCTCTTCTCCCTTGCATAGCAAATTGCAGGCACCTATGGTCACCTCCGCAGCTTTGGCTTATTAGCTATGGCTTTACAAAAACACGATAGGGTAGGGCAGACAAGACTATGTAGAGTTGAGGTGTGCTGATTCGGTTTAAAACCAAAATCAAAGTTAGGTTGCCCTAAATACTGCTATGATTATGGTAAATGAAACAATGTAATGTGAATTGTTATAATTTTATTTTTTGAAAAACCTCTTGACTGCTCTCCACTGCAACTAATTTTGTTGTGTTGTAAGTCCTGTCTTCAGCCCACAGATCACTATATACTAGTCTACGACAGATAGGACAGTACTCTAGTTGACGATTAGTTCCAAAAATATGCGCAATAGCCCTTATGCCGTAATGTCACCTAGTGGTGACCCACAACATACTATTGAAGTGTCGATGATGATACGGCAAAGAATATCGATAGCATAGTGATGTGCCCATAAATTTTTTATAGGGCTAATAATATTCGCATGGTTTATTTTCTCATGTTCATAGGATACGAATATAACAAAAGGATGTAAAAATAAAACTACTTTAGATATATTACTTTTTATAATTTTTTCCTCTTAACCTATGGGTTCTAAATTTATCAAAAGCAATTTGTTGAGGTGCACACATCTGTCTCACAAGTCTTTCTTGTACACCCTCCTTTTAAAATTTTATTTATTACGTTGCACCAATTATGGACATGGATGCATATCATTAAATTAAGCAACCATTCCTTTAATTCAGTTTTATGATGTGTACACCCCAACCAAATTACATCCAATTTCTTTATTATTTCAATTTTTAAAAGTTTTTTATACATTTTTTGTAAGCATACTTATTTAGGTAATCATGTATACGGCCCGAGATATCCCTATATAACATTAAAAACTTCTTTGAATAATAATAAATTGTTATATTTTAAAAGGGTGTATTCCCGTTGTTCAATGCATTTATGAAATACATCTCTATGTGTTTGGGTATAAGTCTCAGAGCAGCTCCTACAATTAAATTTTTTTTGTCACTCTTCTGCACAATTACCCTGCTGTATAGGCAGAAGAGTGCACGCGCAATCTTTCGTTCACTGGAGTTAGTGACCGATCGCAACCGCTAATGTTTTTGGTCTTTGTTATGGGTCCACTACATATAGCATTTTCTTTATCTTCATCAAATATTGATGAGGAACTCTCATCAACATTGGATGAGGATATGAGTTGCAATAAATCTATTATTGTATCTCCTTTATCTTCTTCACAGTTTGCATATATTGAATGTGGACCCATAACATTTGACATTAGCAGTGATTTAAATGCATTCATAAAAGTATTTGCATCAGGATTGACGTTCCTGTAGTTGATGGCTCTGATCCTACCAAAAAAATTCTCGAGAGGATCCTTATTTACATTTCTAAGATAAAAATATTGTATCTCATATTTTTGGAACAACAGTTTAGACAACCTTTCGAAACTTTCTATAGTTGTAACCCATCCATTAAGAGAAGGAACTCGAACTTTATAGGTTTTGTTATTTTTACGGGCTTTCTTGCTACTTTTATCAATGAAATGAATATTTTTTAATATCTGTTTTGCTTCAGTCCATAATTGTAGGGTTGATGGGCGTTCAGCTTTATTGGTCCACACAGTTTTCCCCGGAGAGTGCTCGAGAACCATTCACACTATCAAAGAGCTTATCAATGAATTCTACAGCTTCACCTGTAGTGGCCATTGTCTCACAGACATTTTCACCCGAGGTTGTAGTTTCTGAAATATAACAATTATATAAGTTTTACAGATAAAAGTATACTAAGTAAATAAGTAAAGTATATAATTATTACACATAAACAAACAAACAAAAACAACAACAGAGTGTCTATCCTATCATTCTCGGTACATTACTTTGAATCATACACCTTATCAGTCTTCTAGATTGTAACTTAATTAGTAAGAATCAAATTCTTTTTAAACAAAGATTAAATATATATTATAGTGATAATTAATTCAAATATTACATCAGCATCAGCTATATTTATATAGTTTATTATATAATAGTTATTTATTCAATTCCATTTATTTGTGTAGATTATTTGATAAGGCATATTGATAACAAAGTAAAAACTTACTGAACAATGCAGTGTATTTAAGCATTCCACTGGTTGTTGCACTCAGAGTTTGGGCAGCTACACTAACTTTCATCTTCTTTTCTATTCTAGTATGACCTAGTTGGCAATCAGAGTCAAATACAGTTTCTATAACCTTCCATGTGGCAACTTTGCCCTTGAAAACCATGTCTTTTGTAAGAAGAAGGTTGTTTCTAAGCCCTTTAAGTAAGTGCGGTGGATCATATACCACACTTAACTGTTGTCCTGATATCTCAATAGTTCCATCTGCAAACAAACAAATATTATGTTCAACAAGTTAATTTCATGGATTACACACCCAATCTTACTAATTTATAAATGTCAAAGTTTAGATGTTTGTTATGCAATTGTAGTTTAACAGCTGAACACATTTAGATGAAATTTGGCACACAGATAGACCACAACCTCAACTGACATACAGACGGATATTTTGATATTATACTGATGATGGATACTTTTAATTCCAGATCATTTCCAATGGCTATGCAGACAATGTACATGTTAAGGCTATTTATGTTTTTATTTGTAAAGTGAGGTTATCTACTGACCATTATATTCCTCATTTAAAATCCTTTTGCGTTCAGTCTCCATATTTATTATATTTATGGCTGTTCTAAATGTCGAGCCTTGGTCACACACAATAGCTAAAGGTATGAAATCAGATGCTGACACTTTAGTGACCACTTCCTTAAAATCCTTACTACTGTAGTAGCTGAAGTTGTTTCCTCACAAAAAAAGTAGCACAGTGGCTGTCTCCAGTTTGAGCACACTCCTTTTAGCATGAATACTAAAAAGCATGGTCGCAAAACCTCAATTCTTTTCCATACCCAAAGTCTTTAAAACCTCTTATCTCATCTTGGGACTCAACATAAGTGAGATGAGGTGTAAGACTAACTTCATCAAACAAAATAGAGCAGTTTCTTTTTTTGTGTCCCAATTTTTTGTTTTGTGCTTTAGTACCCTAAAAATATTATCATTTAGCCCTACATTGAATATTATATTTTCAGCAAGACTGTTTAGTGTTCTTTTATTGGGCAAATTATATATTTTTTGTAACAACCTATAACCTTTTGGGCTCTCCTTCATTAGGGTCAATGCTATATGCTTTTCGTTGGTAGTGTATCTCATTGCCGTCTTCTTTCTGTTTGCCATTTTTTATTGCATGAGTAGAAAATCTTGTGCTTGTTGTGACATTTTATTTAAATTTTTATTAAACAATTGGCTGCAGCTCAGAGTCTTAGCAAAAAATGATTTCTGTGATTTATTTTCCTTAATGGCCATTTTTCTAATTTTTTTATAAAGCACCTACAGTTTGTGGTCAATTTATTAGCTGTATATATATTCTGATTATAATTTATTAACTGTATATATGTTTCTGCAACTAATATTACTGTGAGATTTGTAAAAAGCTCTTTAAAGTTTTTGTTAATAACAATTTTTATTGGTGCTTTATTTTTTAAATGAGTTCGCTTCACAGTGCAAATTAAATCTGTAAATAGAAGAAACATTCATTTATAAGTAAGGGTGATTCAAGAATATAAGGCACCTATTTAGGAACCTCAGCAATGTTTTAATTTTCGCCATCAGACCTATTAAGTTTTTTTTTGACATCTCTAAAATCAATCATAACAACACACATAATAATCATAGTGAGATAAAAATAAAACTGCTTTAAGAGTTTGTGATAGGCGTGAGCAGCAGATAAAGTTGTATCATACATTGATTTTATGTATAATTTTAAAATGTACTGTCCAAGATTTTACTAACAATAAAGAAATATAAATACCTGTCGATTCTGTTTCTAATATTGATATGGAGGGATCTTGGTCAAATTCCATGCCTTCTGTCATTTGTGAGCCAGATGAACTAGCACATGTGTGTCCTAAAACATAGAATTACTTTTTCACAATCAGTAATCAAAACAGATTAGGTAAACTATTAAGAAACTTACTAAAATGTTATTAATTTATTGATTATATGTCAATGCTTAAATATTTAAAAATTAGGTGGCTCTGATCAGAATAAATTCCTACATAGAAAAATAATATAGCATTGTAACATATATGAAAATATTTAATTTTATGGCTTTTAACTGATCCACTGATGAGAAAAAAATGTACTTAAGTAAAATTACATTTCTTTGAAAGAGTTTTTATAACTTTTAATTGTATTGTGTACACAAAGATGACACATGGACTATGAAATATAAATTAATAAAAACATTCAAAGTTAAAAAATTATTACCAATATTGAGAAAAGAAGATGCAGGAGGATTTGTAGCTAATCTTGAATATATATGATCAACTGGATGTTCTGAAACGAGAAAAGGCTATATTAGAAAATAGTACTAAATTATACCAAAGTATAAGTAAGATTGAAAAATGAGTATTTATACCTTGGGCAACCACTGGATTTTCCACTATTTCCGCAATGTCTTCCTTTTTACAGTAGTTATGACATCCTAAGGATTGTTTTATACTCACAGACCCAAACCAAATATGTGTATCTGTATCTGAGTAAACCATGGCCTTTATATAAAATAGAATATGATGCTTTAGTGAACGTTAATGTTTCTTTATGTCAAGAAAAAGTAAATTCTCAAATGGATATGTTAAGATATCTAGATGATAATGATTATATTTATACAGATGGATCAAAGTTTCGTACATCGATATATATGTACTACGCACTAGTTATGGTGGCATTCCGAACACACTACTGTCACGGTAATATTATCTATACAGTATTGTAAAGCTGAGAACAAATTATCGGACGAGTCCGTCAGCCGCGGCTGACAGACGCGGCACGGTAGCTGAGACGGCGTCCTCGGACGCCTCGCTTCGGTCATTCCAGAAAGGTTTTGTCAATCGAGAAACATGATAAACCGTGACAGCGAGGACGAATTTATAAAGTTAGCGGCAGCTGCTTTATGTCGTCCTCCAAAAAATAGGGGACTCAAACACTCCTTGTCCATGATATTAATGTAAAACGACTCGAGTATGATGAATTTCATACATTGTATCTGTAGTGTGTGTTGACTTACAAAAAGATGATAAACATTAAAAAATGTACTAATATGTACTTATAAATATAGGCATTCGTGGCCATGAACACATTCAATTATTTTTTTTTTCATTACACATCATGTCGCGAGCGCAGTTGGTTCGCTTGTGACACTCGAAACGTCCGCGGACGCGTCCCGTGCCCCGTTCACACTGTCCGCGGACGCACCAAACATCCAGCCGGCCAGATTCTGTTCGGACGTCCGAACGCTCAAGAGCGACGCAAGGTCATGTCCGCGTCTTACGGCCGATAGTTTGCACAGTGTAGTATTAAATGTACTGGCTAGATCTCAATAAGCCGCGGCTGTCAGCCGCGTCCGTCAGCCGCGTCCGATAATTTGTTCTCAGCTTAACTCTGCCGTATCTTTCAAATAAATGCCTACAGCCGTGCGGCACGTGAACATGTCATAGGGCTGCCTGCCTCCAGCATTTTTACATTTGCCTACTTTGTGTTTCTATTTCGTTTTATTATTGTAAATATACTTTTTATATAAACAAATAAAATAGGTACTTTGTGAATTGAATAGGAAGTGTTCAATAAAAATGCGTGTCGTTTTTTGATTGGTAGATTTAATTAAAAAACCATGTTTATGTTTGAATAACAAATCGGTTAAATAAATTTGCGACCGAAAAATATTTGCGCCTCGGCTGAGACTTACGAAATGCTTTATTATTAGATTTTTAAATATAAAAAATCCGCTTTCTAATATAAAGCTAAAAATAATATAAATTAAAAATTGTTTTGGGAAACATGGACAACTTGGAGAAAAGGAATATCTATTAGGTAATTGGTTATAGATACCTGCAGCTACTTTACAATTTATATGTTTGTTTTTAAATGAAGTTCAGATTTATTATTTCTTTATTTCTATTCTAATATTTATTTCCTCCATTTTTTATATATTCCACAAAATCATCACTGCGGCACAGTCTCGACTGTCTGCATGCCGAGCGCATGCCGAGATCGAGGCGCGTAGGCATAGCTCTCGCTTCGTCCGTTTATATGAAGTTGGAATACTGTATAGATAATATTACCGTGCTACTGTACTGCAATCCGTACACCTGTTTATGTGGCTTCCATATTTATGCAGTGCGGAGTGGCACTAATAATAATTTTATATTAAATTAGCACATATGCAAAATAAACGACAAGAAATTTACCTGTATTAACAATACTATCTAAATAAACTATTATTATGATAATTTTCGCGCGTTTGTATCAACTGCGCATGTGCCATAGATAAATAAATATGTAGCAATATGTAGCAAGCTAGCATGCGCGACTCTACTGTTTCCCGCGTATATGCGGATACAGAGTAGGGCACATTTTTTGTTTGGAATAGCTTCTCTAGTACGTAGTACATATTAAAGTAATAACATACATACGTATGCATAGAGAGAACCTACAGTTCAACATAAATTGAATCAATATACTTGTCTCGCTTTTTCTTATTTAATTTTTGAATAAGGCAAAAATAGATAAACCTATTGAAAGATGTTACGTATAACTCAAGCGTGGAAATAGTAATGTCAAATGGTCTTTGGTTTCTTTGTACTATGCCAAATACAAGATTAAGTACACTTGTATGTTCTGATTTACTAGAAAAATGACATCCCTATTGTAGTAGTATGTGACGTTACTTTACAAGATATTACCTACGTCATTAATCTATAGTGATTTCGTTCGCAATGTTAGCTGCACTCGACATCGATATACTCGTTTTGGTTTAGTAATTTATTTTTATTACTTCATATGCCTAAAAATAGGACTAGACTTATTATTATTCGAACGATCAAGTAAATTGTTTTCTAAATCAAGTGATGATGATTATTATATTACATTTCAAATATTCGTTTCACAAACTTTAAAAACTAATAATTAGGGAGATATCAGTACTAAAAGCCTTGACAGACACACGGTACATGAACGAGTTAGATTTAATTTGTAATCCCAACTTTATATGCTGACTAACGATCCGCCCCGTCTTTGCACGACTAGTTTCTAGATCTCGACAACAATGCCATTTACCGGGTACGATTGTAAGTATGAGTGCATCGAAATCTTTCCATCCTTTCTTATAGTCAACCAAATCTAAGAAATACCTTTTGACGTTTCACATTAATCATTCAGTAATAACTTTGCACAAGCGTACTCACACGATTTAAAATAACCATTTACGTAAATCCGAAGAATTATAAAGTTATATATATATTTCATTACAACCTGTATATTTTTACTAATTTAAATTTGAATCTTTCAAACAAAGCAAAATATTAAAAAATAACCAGTAGCAAGTTTTTGTCATTGACTTCGTTTCAATGATATATAGCTATGTACATTGCCGTAGTGTCTGGATGATTAAATTTAATTGTTATGCGAATAATCGGCAAAAACGTTCCAATAATCGGAAAAATATTCAAATAATTATTTTTTAATGTATAATTTGTTTAATTTAATTTTTATTTTGAAAACTCCTTAAATTACATGAATCATGAATAAAATAAGTTTTTTTTATTTTCGACGTAAATTTATGTAGGCAAAAAAACACATATACAAGGCCGCGATATAAAAACCACTACGTAATTTCAATATCCCGCCTGTTCGGGAGCTTACTGTGCGTAATTTTTCGATTTTGTGTTTGTCTTCTTATTTTGTGACTGGGCTTTAACTTTTTGGACTTTTTCTTCAATATTCGTTGAAGCATGTGCCGATTTCACAAAGAATCATTGGGCAAAAGTAGTAGAAAAAACAAAAAAATATTATGGATGACTTTGAAAGTGACATTAATTTTAACTGCACTATTGAAAATAAAACAACGACATCTCAACTAGTTGTACTAAAAGTGATTGAATAAATTTATTTTTAATTTAGTTATAATCTTAAATTTTTATAACTGTGCCTCTCTAGAAATAAGCAGTACCTACCAACAAATACGAAGACAATGATAAATCTTGTGTTTTAAATTATCCGTTTTTAATTTATTCTGGTATTATTCAAACCAAACTGCGAATGATTCATTCATTATCATTACAGTCCTTCACAAGTCCACTGCTGTACATAGGCCTAAATGATTACCAACTCTAAATAATCGATATCGATTTTTTTAAGAATCGAATATTGTACATTTTTTGGCTGGTGCAATAAGTCTGACAGCTCTCAAAATGTATTTCTTAGATTTGGTTGACTATAAGTGATGATATTTCATATATGCGATTATAAATTTTTATTTATATAGATTTACCACTTGCTTGGAGAAAATTATAAGCCATCGATTATATTCAACAAAGCATTATCTGCTTTGATGAAAATATTTCTAAATCATAAATGTAAGGCAGAGTCTTGATAATGATGTATAGCAGCAGCAAAAAGAATTCGTTAACGCCCACCAAATAATGTATGTTATTACACAGAAGCTCTAAGAACCGATACCATCCCATGAGTATCGTAAAAGACGACAGAGAGAAATGAAACGTGAGATAGGCAACATTATCTTTTCTTTTTTTATATAGAAGAGGGGGTAAACGAGCATGCGGCTCACCTGATGTTAAGTGACTACCGCCGCCCATGATCAACCGCAACACCAGGGGACATGCAGGTGCGTTGCCGGCCCTTTAGAAAAGAGTAAGTTCTTTTCTTGTAGGTCCCCAGGTCGTATCGGTCCGGAAAAAATCGCCGGTGATAAACTATACCACAGAGAGGTCGTACGAGGAAGAAAACTCCTTGTAAAACGTACAATGATGGATCGCCAAGCACCCAGACAGTGTGGATGGTATCGGGACGTTTGCCACGTAGTGCGTTCACGAAATTTGGCGGCTGGGATTAATCCGAGCAATTTCTCAGAGCACTCCCCATGGTATATGCAAAACAAAATGCAAAGAGATGCAACATCTCTTCGCAGCGCCAGTGAGTCGAGCTGATCGGAAAGCACTCGGTCGTCGACGATTCGAGCCACTCTGCGCTGGATGCAGTCAAGTGGAAGGAGCTGTTACTGAGGAGCCCCAGCCCAGAGATGGGAACAGTATTCCATGTGCGGTCGAACCTGCGCCTTGTAAAGTTGCAGGCGGTGTGCCGACATGAAATATTGTCCCGCTCTGCTAAGCACGCCAAGCTTTTTAAAGGCCAATTTGGCCTTCTCTTCCAAGTGACCATGAAACTCACTCACTCGATATGTCGACGCCGAGGATTCCGATACTGGCTGAGGCAACAAGGGGAGTGCCTTGAAACTGAGGAGATACGACAAAGGGATTCTTTTTAGCGGTTAACGCGCAAACTTGTGTCTTCTGGGGGTTAAACTGGACTAGATTTAGTCGCCCCCAATCCGAGACTCTGTTCAGCAAAGACTCGACTTCAGACACAAGTTTGTCCCGGTACTCGAAGACGTTTTCCCGAGAAATATTCGCACGGCCGGTGTTAAGAGCATCACCAGTGCTGTTATCCGCATAGTAATTAATGTTACGGGTTTGCAACATATCGTTTATATGCAGAAGAAACAGCGTTGGCGATAACACGCAGCCTTGTGGAACACCAGCATTAATAGGCTTGTCGGAGCCTATTAATGAAGGTGTTGTAATCGGAGCTTGCACCGTCTACAAAGACCTTGATGCTCCGATCTGCAAGAAAGCTGGTGATCCAATTGCACAATTTCTCGGGAAGCCCATAGGAAGGGAGCTTCGAAAGAAGCACTTTGTGCCAAACCCGATCAAAGGCCATCGTAATGTAAAAACTAACGGGCAATGCCTCCCCCCTGGACTCTACTGCCTCCGCCCATCTGTGAGTTAGGTAGACCAGAAGATCATCAGCTAACCGACCACGGCGAAAACTGTATTGGCAATCACTAATCAGCTGGTGATCCTCAAGGTACCTCATGAGCAGGCAGTTAACAATAGACTACATTGTTTTGGAGAACAAGGAGGTGATGGCGATAGGCCAGTAATTGGACGGGTCTGAGCGGTCGCCTTTTTAGGGATCGGGTGGACGAAAGCCGTCTTCCATGATTTTGGGAATACGCCTAGGGACTAGAAGTACCGGAAAAGACGCGTCAAAACCGGTGCCAACTCTGGAGCACACGTCCTCAGCACAATTGGGGGGATTCTGTCAGGCCCACTCGACTTGTGGATGTCCAGGGAGAGGATTGCTTTGCGAACCGAGCGCTGTGTAAACTGCACTTCCGGCATAGAGCACTCACACCGCGGGATGGTCGGCAGCGTATTCCCCCCGTCATCGAGAGTCGAGTTGGACACAAAGAAAGAGCCTAGCAGATCGGCTTTCTCCTTTGCGGTATGGGCCAGTGAGTCGTCCTCCCTATGCAGAGATGGAAGAGATGGCTGACAGAAATTCCCCTGGACAGCCTTGGCGAGAGACCGGAATGCACGGGTTCCAGAAGGAAGGTGAACTAGTTTCTCGCCAATTCTGCCTATGTGCTCTGACTTTTTCTTGGCAATGACTCTTTTGAAAGACCTAGAGGCGGAATTATACTGCTTTTTTAGAGCGCTGGTGTTTACATCCCGGGCCGTTGATGCGTTAGCCCAGGCTTGGTAGCACTCCTGCTTATAGCGTGATGCTATTTTACAGGAGCGACCAAACCATGGCTGAGATTTGCCTCCAAATGGCACCACACCTCCAAGGGTAGAATGCAAAGAAAGACCGCATTCTATTCCAATCGGCTGACCTATAGTGCCAAACACGGCGGCAGCCTGCAGAATGCAACTGCAATTTCAGCGTGAGTGGTACCACACTTCGGACAAGACAATGATCCGAGGAGCCTAAAGGGGCGTCGACGGAAATCTGATATCCGTCCGGGTGAGAGGTCAGCAGAAGGTTCAACAGGGAAGGTGCATGATCCACATCTGGAATCCGTGTAGGCGAAGTAACCAGTTGTGTCAGACCATATGCCAAGGCAAAATCATGAACAGATCTCCCCGCATGATCGGTTAAACGTAAACCAAGCCATTCGGCGTGATGGGTGTTAAAGTCGCTGAGGATCTTACCAAACCTTTTTACCTTGACCGAATTCAATTTAACTGTTAACTCTAGAAAGGACACTACTTGTGGTTTAGATGCTGTCCCATATAAAGCTTTAAAAAATATGAATATGCATGTAGAGAATTAGTTTTGAAAATATATAATATGTTATGGTTTTATTCACTTATTCCTAACTATTGGAAAGAAGATTGTTTGATACCCATTTTAAAGCCTGGAAAAAACCTCACATTGCAGAATCTTACAGACCTATAGCACATACATCTTGTATGGGAAAATATTTGAGCAACTTATAAAATCCAGATTAGAATTTTATCTAGAAAAAAATTGTCTTTTACCATCAAATCCGTTTGGATTCAGGCGCCGCAAGTCATCTAAAGAAAGTATTCCATTTCTTCATTTAGACATCTTTAAAGCTATGGAAAATAATGAAGAATTAATTAGTATATTCCTTAACATTGTTGGTGCATTTAATAATGTTAATCTTCAGGTACTCGCTACAGAGTTGAGGTCTCTGGGCATTCCTGAAAAAAATTGTAAATTATTTAACTTTTTACATGAAAGAAGAGTTTTTGCTAAAGTTAATAATAATAATACAATTATGGGTCCTAGGCTCAGTTATAAAGGTGTTTGTCAAGGAGGAATATTAAGTCCTATTTAAATTAAACAATATTTTAGGATCAAATGTTACTAATTTACAATATGCAGATGATTTGGTCATATATGCCTCAGGAACAAATGTCAAAAACTTGGTAACCATTTTAAATGAGGCTTTAAAGAAATTGCACATTTACTTTTCACACTTAAATTTAGATATTAGTACTGAGAAAAGTAAAGTTGTAATATTTAATAAAATTCGTCCATTTAACACTGAATAATTTATAATATAATACATTTTTACCAATAGAAAGTTGTGCAAAATTCTTAGGTGTAATTTTTACAAATAATTTATGTTGGATCAAATATGTGAATTCTATTTCAGACAGAGCTTCTGAGGCCTTTAATATATTAAAAGCTTTGGTTAGTACTAACTGGGGAGCTGATCCAGAAATGTTATTAATGTTATATAAGTCTTTGGTGAGGAGCCAATTTGAGTACGGCTTCCTTTGTTTTGCATCAAATAAAAAACTAGTAAACAAATTAGACGTTATACAAAATAAGAAGGGTTGGGTTTACAATTCGGTCGCCTGAATTTGAAGATTCTGTCACTGTGGGGAGGGTCAAGGGGGTTTATCTGAAGCATCCCCACTCGATTTTTGCTGCCGCAGCAGCGTCGAAGTATTTTTAATTATTTTTTAAAAATATTGGTAAATGACTAATTAATTACGTTTTTGACGTTTCATCTGTCAATATCATATCGATATATAGTACTGAATCGATCTAGTGAATCGATATTTCACCCTAGAGAATCGAGATCGAAACTTTTTCTGTTTTATTAAGATTTGTAAAATTATTTACAATTAGTTGAATATACCCTAACTCGTAAAGAATGACAGTTTTTAATTCAATCATTCAATGTTATCTGTACTTGTCTGTATCTTTTGATAACGCAAATCAAAAAAAGATCGATCTTTACGATTTCGATTTTTTGTGAATCGATTCATCCAATTTCGATTTGAATCGATTTAAAAATGTGTAAAATCAATCGCTAGGCCGGCCATTTTGTTGACAGTTTTTCGTCATGCTGTTGCTTCAGAGTGTCATAATTTTGGTGAATAGTGGAATATTAGTGGCGGCGGAATACTGCTAAATATCGCAAAGATCCTTTCTTACAAATGGTGGCAGGCATAAATTATGTTTATAAATTGAAGTAGTTATAAAAGTTAATGTTTTGGTATTATATTGGGTGCAATAGCAAGCGAAGCGAGCGTAGGACGTGGGGCACCCCGACTCGGACAGGTTAGGTTAGAAGGGGATGACGGGGTCGAGTGAGCGAGCGAAGCGAGCGAATAGACCCCGTAGTAGGGGGTGACTCTACAACTCCTCCCCCTCTCCCCACACCACCTCCCACCCCCTAATTCAGGCGACCGAATTGTAAACCTTACCCAATAAGAATTTAAGACTTATTACCGACTCCATGAGAACAACTATTGTTTCTTTACAGGCTGAATGTCTTACTCCTATCTTACTTAGGTTTAAATATCTGAAATTTAGGTTTTTATTAATATTAATTCTTTGTCTCATCATCCTCTTTTTCAAAAATATTATTTTACTGTAATAGTATGTCTCCTATATCTAAGTCAGCCTCATATATTCTCCATGATTTTCATGAAGTGATACAATATGATGAACAATATAATATTCACAAAAGCACACATAGTTGGCCTTGTTATAAGTATATAAAAAATATATAAAAATTGAAAAGAAAAGAAGAGGTTTATGAACTTATATCTACATATGATGAATATCGACAAATTTAAACAGATGGTTCAAAAGTAGAAAATAAAGTAGCCTGTGCATTTTACATACCTCATATGAAAACTGGACGTGGTCTTTCCATTCCTGCATCAGCAAACATATAGACTGCAGAATGTTATGCTGTCCTAATCGCTCTTAAATATATAGAAGAACACCCGCATGTATCTAATAAATGGTTACTGATCTCTGATAGCATGAGTGTCTTGAAGGCATTGAAGGCAAGAACTTTAGATGCTAATACGTCTTTCATCATATATGAAATCAAATTTTGTGGTGGAAATTGAAAGAAAATAATTTGGAAGTAAAATTTTTATGGACTGTGTCACATATTGGTGTACAAGGAAATGAAAGCGCAGATCATTTAGCTTAAAGTATAGTCACAGCTGATATAGACAGGATAACCGGAGTGGCAATACCACATACAGATTTATATTCAATTTTAAAGCAACAGATAAAAGAAGAATGGAAAATGCAATGGAATCTTTGAGTATTAAATGAATACTCAAAGAATGGAATGCTGTGAATAATACTAAATTTACGGATTTTATCGCGTTTATTTAACCGATTTTACTTATTTTTAATTCCCGACGTTTCGGGTGCTTACAGCACCCATCAGCACCTATGAACATGGTCACGGGTAATGTACTCTGTGCTCACGGGGGGGGGGGGGGGGCTGAGATGTTTGACGTCCCAATGTCATAGTTAGTTATTTTAATATAAATTTTTCGGTTCGATTTACGCAAAACGAGCTTACAGTATCTTGAAGTCTTGCAGTGGTATGCTTGGGTTTGGGTTTAATTTTGTTAATTATAGGATCCCAAGCAGATGGTAGCACCCATCCATCTTCTCTATTGAAATTAGGATGTTTTTTAATTTCAATAGTCTCACGTATCATCCTTGGTAGGAATCGGTGTTCTTTTGCGAGGACTTGTGGTTTATCAATACTGATGTAATGGTGGGGACGATCTTGAATATGTTCACAGACTGCAGACTTCCCGGAGCGTCGGTGCTTCACGTCAGCTATATGTTCTTTCACGCTGGTTTTTATCGATCTTTTTGTTTGACCTATATAAGAGAGACCACATTCACAATCTAACTTGTACACTCCTGCATCTTGTAGAGGGATATTACACTTGACGGATGGTAAAAATTGACTAATCTTCTTCGGCGGCATGTAGTATGTTTTAATGGAAGTTCGCTTCAAGATGTAGCCTCAGTTGCGCGTGGGCGCTCGCTGTAGCTAGACGCGTTGATCTACCGTTCGATTACGTACTGTCCCTAGTTCTAGCAACGCGCTCCGCACGTCAGTGCGCTTTTGTAGACCATGTTAACAGTGAGGTCAATTAATTATGTGTAGTAACACTATGTTGAATTATGTGCAAAGTGAGATTGATGTGGAAAATAGTATATTTAACGAAAGCAATGAAAGGGAGATTACATTGATCATGGAGGATATTTCATAGGTGTGTAGTACGGAAGATAGGAATAACATGTTCTTAGGGAGACCCTCAAAAAAGCGAAAGGCAAATAGATATAATGAATGTACAGAGGATAATGTACTTACGAGAATTACGGAGGATAAAATTGAGGTATGTTTGACATGTACAGATAAACTTCCGAAACAATTTGGATTGGCAAAAATGTTAAAAGCAGGAAGTATTAAAAACGTCACGAAAATTAAGTACATAAATGCATTTAAGGTATTGATTCATTTTAATAGCGAAAAAAGTGCTGAATCTTGTGTACAGTGCAAGAGATTTAACGAGAATGGTTTTAAATGCCAAAAAACTTTAGAAATGAGTCAATCATATGGGGTCATAATCATAAATGATATTGATCTAGAATTGAGCGAAGAAGAGATATTACTAGGACTTAAAAGTGAAACTTTAATTTTAGTAGTAAAAAGACTAAAGCGAAAGAACATTTATGACGGTCATTGGGAACATAGCGAGTCTGTAAGAATATGTTTTAAGGGATCGTCATTACCGTCGTATGTTTACATCTATGACACTAGGGTAAAAGTGAGTCCTTACACCTACTCAGTGACGCAATGCTCCCGTTGTTGATGATTTGGTCACTCGATTAGTATGTGCCCTTCTCTAAACATAATTTGTCCTAAATGTACAAAAAGTCATCCTAACTGTGAAAAGACAACTTTCAAATGTAATAACTGTATGGGAAAACACATGGCAATGGCTAAAATTTGCCCTGTTTTCTTGAAAGAGAAACGAATTAGAGAACTCATGGCAGAATTTAACTGTTCCTACAAAAAAGCCCTTATGCTGTATGTCCCGCCTTCACCTCGACCACCGAATATGAAAAATGACCCACCTCTACTTACACAACCTATATATGAAAATGAATCATCACAACAAGATAAACAGATTCTCGAGCCTAGTGATGTGTATACCTACGCTAGTGTTACGAAAACACCCCCGGAAGAAACGAGAAAAAGCTCTAAGTCAGAGAAACGACGGAATAGAAGAAGGGCCCTCAAAGAACAGGAACAAAATATACCTGAATTTTTTACCGAAGTTAGTGAAGAAGAAAGCAGAATGGACGACAAGCTAAGTGATGAGAATCGATCGAAAAATAAAGAACAATTGTCTTGGAAATTATTTTTTAAAAAATTAAAAGAGAAGACATTTAAAAAGAAAGTAGTTCGTGGGAAGACAGGATAAAAGGCTGTGGAAATATAATATTGGAGGCGTTAATATCATTAGTGTTGCAGTTTACTGCAGATCAGCCTTGTTGCAATTTCGTAAAACAATTATGGATAACAACAACTCACAAACCTACGTAAATGTGCTACAATGGAATGCGCAAAGCATTCAACCTAAATGTACAGAGTTAGAAGTTCTATTAACTCAAGAAAAAATACACATTGCTATTATAAGCGAAACTTGTTTAGACCCGGGTAGTCCCTTTCATATTAGCCACTATAACGTCTTTAGAAGGGATCGTGCTGACGGATTTGGAGGCGTAGCTATATTAACCCACAGGTCAATTAAGGCACAAAAACATAATGTTGAACTGCTAAATTCACAAATTGAGATCCTCCATATTAGAATTTTAAATTGTAAACATATAGAAAATGTATACTCCTTATACTGCCCACCGCCCGCTCGTACCACTTTGAGAGACTGGGACCAAATCTTCAATCTTGCCAGACGAAAGACAATAATTGCAGGAGATCTTAATGGCCACCACACCAACTGGTCAACTAGAACGGACTCACGAGGTGATCAAATTTTGGAATCCATTTTAGACAGCAATTTTGTTTCACTGAATGACGGCTCACATACTAGAATTAAACTGTTTAACGGCATAGTACAAAAATCTGCCCCTGACCTATCTGTAGCTTCTCTGGATATAGCTTTGAAGTTCGACTGGATAGTACTAAATGAAAATTTGGGAAGTGACCATTTAATGATTAAGATAAAAACTAATATTGGCACATCCAATATCTATAAAATAAAACGCAATTTTAAAAAGGCTGACTGGTTGCAGTATAAGACACATATAGAGAGAAAGCTTGAAGGCTTTATATTACCAGATGATCACCAGTCTGCGTACGACGCTTTCATCGATATTATTAACGAGGTAGCTGATAAGTGTATCCCGTTTATAAAAATATATGAAAATCCTCTTCACCAACAAAGGTTCACTCCTAGACCATATTGGAATCCGGATATTTCAAAAGCTGTAGCGGAACGACGTCGGGCACTTGCAGTTTTTAGGAGAAACCCTACACCAGTAAATTTAGAAGCATTACAAAACAAGGTCAGGTTGGCACAAAAAATTATTCGTAGTAGTAAAAATAGGTCATGGCAAGGTTTCTGTGACAGCATAGGTAGTGTGTCAATTTCAAGTGAAATGTGGGTTAAAATGAAGTGGCTGTAGGGGTGCAGGACAGCGAGAAGTAATATTACCCCCCGCGAGTCAGCTGATTCCTTACTGTGTAGTTTAGCACCTGATTATGCAGATCCACCGACTCCTGTGTTTAATAGCGAGAACGTACATCTATCTTTACCTGTTTCGGTTCATGAACTCCCAAACACAATTAAACAGTCCGATACTGCACTTGGCGCAGACGAAATTTCATACCCTATGATCAAGAACCTTCCAAATGCTGCTAAAATTGTTCTCGTATCTTTATACAACAGATTTTTGCATTCAAGCTTTGTACCAAGACAATGGATATATGTAAAAATAATGCCTATACCGAAACCGAAAATTAGCAATATCTCAAATTCAGGTATTAGGCCTATAGCCCTTCTGTCTTGTCCATGCAAGATTTTTCATACAATTATTACGTGCAGGTACCTTGAAAAAAATAATTGTTTACCAGATGAAACAGTAGGCTTTAGAAGATCGCGATCTTGCCTGGACAATTTGACTAGGTTAGTGTCACGAATACAGAGTGGCTTTGGTAATGGAGAGGCTACTGTAGGGTGTTTTGTTGATATCGAAGGCGCATACAACAATGTCAATATTATAAGTCTTTTAGGTTCGCTAGATAATTTAGGAGTACCACTACTACTCTACCAGTATTTGCACTCACGAAGGTTATTTATCGAACTAAGCAATGACGAGTGTGTAAGCAGATGTACAGGAACCGGTATAGCACAAGGTGACCCCTTATCGCGATTATTATTTAACGCAGCAACTATCAATATCTGTAAAAATCTGAATCAAGTATTTATATCTCAATACGCTGATGATTTTGTACTTTATACTGGTCGTAAAAATATAATGGATGCAGTTTCTGTTACTCAAGATGCTCTGGTTGCTTTAAACTCTATAATGACAGATATCGGTTTAAACATTTCTCACAGAAAAACCAAGTAACAGTAGTAATATTACTTTAAACAACAACAACGAACGTATTGAAAGAGTCGATAGAGTTAAATATTTAGGCATGTGGCTGGACAGAAATTGAAAATGGTGTAGACACATAAATGAAACGAGGGAAAAGCTACTTAAGTTTCTAAACATCTTTAAAGTGTTAGCAGGCTCCAAATGGGGTGTTCACCCAATGCATTTAAGGCGTCTTTATATTTCATTAATTAGAAACAGACTAGACTACAGTTGTTTCTTATATGATAGTAGTGTAAAAACACATTTATACAAACTAGATAAAGTACAGAATCAAGCGATGAGAGTCATAGGCGGATTCATAAGAAGCACCCCTATCCATGTCATAGAAAGTGAACTGTGTCTACAACCACTGTTCATTCGTAGAAGATATCTTGCGGCAAAATTTTGGTCTAGGTCAATCAAAAATAATATAACAACACGCGTTCTAGAAGAACTAAGCAGTCAGTGTCAGGGCTTATACTGAAGGAGAAAGAAACTTCCGTTACTGGTTCAAACTTATAACAAATATTGTAATCTTTCTATGCATTCTGACTCCAAACTATTGATTTACTCTCTCAGCGAATGGATTAGTAGATATGAAATATCTCATAATATTAAGACTATAGTAGACGGAATGGAACGCCCAAAAAGGCATGTTGGTATAGATAATTTACGTAATATATGTTGCAACGTCCTAAATAATATGTACAACACACACTATAAGATTTACACAGACGGATCAAAGGATAAAACGGGATGCGGTGCGGCCTTTGTTGACCAGCAGATGGTCATCTGTGTACGATTTAAAATAAAGGCTGACGTTTCTATAATGCACTGTGAACTGATCGCGATATTCGAGGCTTTATCGTACGTTACAACGTTGAATTACAATCAATTTGTCATATTATCCGATTCTAAGAGCGCCCTGTTACATTTGGCTCGGCTGACCTCGAGTATTCGAGGAGTTCCGATTGCATATAGTATCCTAGATTCTATATGTAAGCTTATTGCATTAAATAAGGTGGTAATCTTCCAATGGATACCTTCTTCATACAGGCATCATGGGTAACGAGGAGGCTGATCGAGCTGCAAGCCGAGCTATTAGTGACGGTATTACATATAGTACTTTACCAGTACACAACGAACTGTTACGTGAGATTAAAGTAAATTGTAGGCAGCTATGGCATGAGTATTTTGATGAGCGCTCACTTAGTAAGGGAATATGGTACAAAACCATTCAGTGTCAACCTTCTGGTTATCCATGGTTTGAAAAAAAAATTAAGAGGAAGAATCAAGGACATCCCGTCAAATAAGTTCCGATTTCTGATAGGAATTTCAGACTCCCCTAATTGCTCGGAGTGTAATACTGTAGAAGATGTGCACCATGTTTTGATGAAGTGTGCTCGGAACGAGGTTCAAAGGCAAGATATGACATTTTTGAACAATCACAATGTAGGCATTTGTAATGCTATCCTATCATCTCCACTTTGTCATGAGGCCAGAATGCTAATCAAACTTTATTTACATGTAATGTGAGTTTAGCGAGATATAATCTTTTCTTACTTATAAGGGTAAACATAACACAGGATTTTGCTTAATATCTATTTTTGTTGCTAAATTTATTTTTATTTTATGTAGCTCTGTTACTTTCTATGTTATTATGTGTTCATTACTTTATTTTCTGTTATTATTTTTGTGTGTATATCACGGGGCTGACATAGTCACTGTGTGACAAAACCCTTTTTTTTGAAAATAAAGATTTAAAAAAAAGATGTAGCCAACCTTGTCTGTGACTCCTCTGACATATAGTAGTATAGCAGGTACACGGTACACACGGTACACACGGTAGCTAACTGTGAAGGATGATGGTGAGATTCACCATTTAAATATCGGTATGGTCCCGCGTGCCCTGCAAGATGTTCTTAGGAATACTAAGACATATTTAGCACTTTGCAATTTTATTCATAATACTGTAAAAGAATTATGAAATATGGTATTCCTGTTTTTGTAAATATTGGACTGATAAATCTATATGGATTGAAATTTATAAAGATTATAATATAAAGAAGACTTGGTCTTAACCTTTATGGTTTTTGAAAATATGAAGAAGAGACTTGGCTTCGGCCTTTATAGATTTTGAAGAGATGGAAAGAAGAAAAATAAGATTTGGTTCCAGCCTTTACACTTCAAAATTCCATATATTCAAATTAAAAAATACAAGGCTGTATGGCTTAGTTCCTTTACCTGCTCTCTCGAGCGAATAATAAAAACAACAACAACAATCAAATAGACACATCAGTGTTGCCATATATACAGATTTCCCCCGTATTTATACAGATTTTCGGTGTGTGATACAGATTAGCACTGGATACAGATTTTTATACAGAGTTTTCCGTGGACAGAGAAACCTATAGACAAATTGACGCCTTATTTCGCTTTCGCACACGAAAAGATAGATTTATGTATACGTCTTGCATAGAAATGAGAACGAGTGGTGTGATTGTTTGTCCCTTTCTCCGTGCCGGTTTTTTATTTAGCAAACTACACTTTCCTAAACAACTTTGACAGTTCGTAGCGATCTAAGGAGTTTACAAGTTGGTTTAAGTGAGAAAAAAGTGTATTGTGAGCTTAAGATTGGTGAATCTTGTTCAGTTCAGTTCTTAGAACAATTAAAAATTTTATCTAAATATGTTTAAAAGTCATAAAGATTATTGTCTAACCTAAAACTACGTTATCGTTCTTTCTCCCTCGAGGCCATGCTAATCATTAGTCTATAGGTTTCTCTGTCTACGGAGTTTTCTAAACTCTTTTGATTGGGTTA